CGCCTTAGTAATTTTGTTACCCACAGTTACAATAGGATTTAATTGTTTTTGCCTTCTGTGCCATGTGTAATTATGTGTTCTGCGTATTCTTGACCTCCCTTGTAATTTAGTGTTATACACTACCAAAGGGTGTAATAAACTGATTATTATTATTATTGATGAGCAGATGGACAAGAGCACAACTACCCATCATTCAACAGCTTCTCATGCCAGTTGTCCAGCCTGGGACCTATCAGCAGCTTCTCGCTAACAAGGAACCGCAGGATCTTCCTTACAACAGGGGGGCCAAAGCTAATAAGATAAATAAAAGTTTAAGAGACATGTTCAGATATTTGAAGTGGAGGCAGTTTAACCTGGAGGCAAGGTCTAACCTGCGTATGATGGTGAAGAAGGGATGGAAGGGGATGGACTTACCAGAGAACTTTGCCACATGTATGTCTCGCATGCGAGATGGTGAAGGTGGGATCATTCATTTTGAGGGGCAGATAAACCATTCGATTCCTGTACGTAATGAACAGTATTTAGCTTCCGAGTACTATAAGTGTGCCGGTCAGCTGATTGCATGCTGGGTTTGGTGTAACTGGATTGTCACAGTCCATTACAGAATATTTGGAGTCTTCTCAAGTGAATGAATGCCTTCCATATCTCTCAAAGAACGACATCCCTGACCTGCATGTATGTGAGAAACTAAAACAGGTAGATCTACTCCTTTTTTGCCTTGGCTATGAAGATTTGACAGACAACAGCTGCAACCGCACTTGGGGACTTAACCAAGTTATTTCCAATTAACTAATTAGAGCTAACTCGTGTAAAAAAACTGCAAGTGTGGCCAGGTTTTCTACGGTCTTTACCAAGTTCTAGACATGTTATGCAACTCAACCAAGAACAACAGATTTTCTTTACCAAGTTAGGCTTTTTTAAACCTAGTTTGACAGAGGTTAACGTTATCAATCAGTTGATCATCTCTGCCTATGTTTGATACAACTGAAAGATGCCATTATAAAACTAAAAGATGTTCGATACAACGAAAAGATGTTTGGTACATCAAAAAAAGATGTTCGATAGAATGAGAACGGATATTTGATAAAACCAAAAGATTTTCGATAAAAGATGAGGAAGCGGAAGTGCTTTTGTTTCCATGTCATCTTATTCCCAGGCTCCTGGCAGGGATCAAAAGTAGGCCCGATTTCCCACGCAAACTCTTGCTCCAAAGAGGAGCAAGATGGCGGAGCAGAACATTCAGCAGGTCATAATACCTGTTTGAAGTGCAGTAATGAATTTACAAGGCCAGTCGACACCGTCACCATCGTGTAATACTGAGGTAAAAAGCTCACAGCAACAATTAAGTAGCGTCCGAGACGAGATTAGCACTTGTTTTCGGATCTCGCGAAGTAGATGTGGAAGAAATACTACTCAAGAGTCTCAACCTAATGGCAGAGCTACATTCCTCCAATAAGACCTGTGGGAGGCCTGTCAGGTATAAGAAACCGCCGGAGCATGTGGAGAGGAAGCTCCCGCTCATCTCATTCTCTTCATGTACAGCTACCATGGCAGACAGCCCAGAGTATTATTACAAAGACATCTGCCTACTTCCCAATACAAGCTATGATCAGGTGCCAAGGGGTTTGGCAAAAGTCTCCCCTGTGGATGGTCTGTTTGTGGACGCTTTAAGCCCAGAACAGTGAAGCGTAGAAAAGTGTGGCAAGAAATTGCAAATAGGCTAAATGAAAATAGACTCATTCACTTTCGAGTGACAAAGCGCTCAACGAAGGAGCATTTCAGTCTTCTTTTGGAAAAGTTCAAAGCAAAACGTAAAAACGAAGTGAAACAAAGTAGTGTTGACGTTCAGGATTCCGAACTGGATGTTGCTATGGAAGTGGAAAAGTGGCAAGAAGCTGAGTCACAAGACGGAACGTGTGAGAGCAAGAAGCAAATCGAGGCAGACAAAGCAAGTAGGGGAGAAGTAAGAAGAAAGGCATGTGAAAAACTGGGAGAAACCTCAAAGAGAAAAATGAAAGAAGCTGCTGAAGTCAAACCCAGAAAGTCAAGGAGGTATATGGTAGCGATACCACTGAGTTTCTTCCAAAGCAAAGCAGGACCTTGCAGATAGGCAAGAAGAAGAACGGTGCAAAGAAAGAGCAGAGCGTCATGCTCGATTACAAGAGCAATTTCTTCTTGCACAGCAACAGCAGCAACAACATCAAATGAAAATATGACGCAACAACAGAACAGAGCCAAAATTTACTTCTCCAAAATAGTGTAAATACAAACTTACAATCCATTTGTTGACATCCACAGTTGAGTTCAGGACAGAGTTTTATTTCGCTGCTTGGACATTTATCGCTTAAGGGTTGCCGCAATTTTCATATAACTGACTGAGTAAAGTTAAATTTACACGTACTCTGCTAGCAAGCCTATCGTATTGGATTTGGTTCTTTTATCAATGTAACAGCTTTTAGCCAGAATAAAAACTTGAGTTTGAATCAGTTCATTGTTTTAATACTGTATTTCATGCAAAGTAATCTTTCAGTTATGTTGGGTGACAATCAAAATACTCGGAAGTAAGATTGCCATAAAGACAGGTTGTGAGAATTCGTAGGTTGATACTCGCATGTTAAGAATGTTTCGTTCGCGTTTTTTTAATTTGTAAACTAGTCAGGCGCACCCTGAGGCCGTTGGGGCCTGGGAGCTAGGATTATGGATATTATAGGATGTCGTTTTCAAGAAGTGATGTATCAGCAAAAAAACACATGGCGAGAGTTAGTGATCTTTACCGAGAGAGAGTTAGAAGTATTAAAACAGTTCTGTTCTTTATCGTGAGCGTGAGTTTATTGTCTGGAGAAACAGGTCCGACAAAGTGACGACCCTGCCAGGACACAGTCATGACAACACCAGCGGCAACCGTGGAAAATCAGGAGAAAGCAATCTAAAACAAATTGAAAGTACTGCAGCTGACGAACGAAAACATACACAAGATTGAATCGGTTTCAGCAAATTGCTGCCAGCAAAGACATCGTAAGCTGATGGAAAGCAAAGTTGAAGAATGCCACGAAGTAAAAGCGATTGTGCAAGAACTTAAAATTGGACGAGGTGACGAAGAAGATGACATTAACGATTGGAATTCGGGCATCGAAGCAGAGTTGGGCAAGTACGACAAAGTGGTCGGAGAATTAGAAGAGCTGGAACAAACGTTAAGGGAACGAAAAGCAAGAGAAACTCAGGAAAAGGAGGAAAAAGCGAGACTTGAGATCAAGAAGAAATTCGAAGCGAAAACCGTCAAGAAGGAGAGTGATGCAGGTAAACCAAAAGTTAAACTACCCAAACTTGTGATAACGAAATTCCAGGGGACGCATCTAGATTGGCAGAGATTTTGGGGGCACTTTGAAGCGGAAATAGACAAATCCGACATTGGTCAAGTTGCCAAATTCTCATACTTGAAAGAACTACTTGTACCAAAAGTTAGAGCTGTCATCGATGGGTTGCCCTTTAACAGTGACGGATATACACGAGCGAAGAACATTCTCATGACCAAATATGTAAAACCAAGTGAAGTAGCTAATGCTAACATCCAGTGCATAATGGCATTGCCAGTTATCACGGGGAAAAACCCAACAAGAATTAATGAGTTCTATGAGAAACTGGTTACCAATATCCAAACCTTAGAGTCCATGGGTAAGGAGAAAGATATTAGAGGGTATGTTAGACTTACCCTAGATAGACTACCAGGCATAAGAGCTGATCTAGTGAGGCTGGATGATAACTGGCAGGAGAGGGGGTTCCCGCAATTAGTAGAAGGCTTAAGGAAGTGGTGTGAAAGGAACCCAGTTCCCCCGAATGGCAACCATGGGAGACGTGACAAGGCAAGAGACCCATTGCTTCAAGCTAAACAAGAGGGTGGAAAGCATAGGGTTTGTGTTTACTGTAAGTCTGAGGAACATAAATCAGTTGACTGTGACAAGATTAAAGTGGTAGCTGACAGGAGGAGGTACATGTCAGACAATAAGTTGTGTTTTAACTGTACTGGCGCTAGGCATCGAGCAGCGGAATGTAGATGCATTACTACTTGCCAGAGATGTAATGGGAAGCACCATAGTTCAATTTGTGATAAGTTTTCAAACCAGCTGATGCTAGCAACAGGTGGAGGTCAAGTGGTGTACCCGGAAGTTGTGGTAGATGTGGATGGAATTAGGTGTAGAGCTTTATTGGACACGGGAGCCGGAAGCTCCTATGCATCAGCGGCACTCATTAGCAAACTGAACAGAAAACCAGATCGAAGAGAGTATAAGACAATCGAAATGATGATGACGAATACTAGTCAGAAGATAGAAATGTACAAAGTCTAAGTCTCTAACATTAAAGGAGTTTTCAGCCTACCCACTACCCTGAGCAAAGTGGACAAGGGAATTTGCCGATTCTATGTTTCAAAGAAAGTTCCATGAACTCGCTTCTCAGCGTAACCTTTGTTTTCACATGTTATCCATTGACAGCGTGGATTTAGCCTTTGACCTTTCTTAATGGGTGCTTTGTGCCTTTGCTGCAGATCGTCGCAGGCCAGTTCAACCATCAGCAGATATTCGAGCATTGGATTCTCTCGGATGCGACTTGATCGAGAGAGCATACGCAGATTCAACCCGGCAGAACTTGAACTCCCACATAAAGATTTATCTGCCATTTCGTGAGGCGGTTTCGTCCGCTCCGTTTCCAGTGACTGTAAAATTAATTACACGTTACATAGCTTATTTAGTGTCACTCGGCCGCGTTTATGGTACTATCCTGAATCATTTAAGTAGCATTAAGCATATGCATAAGTTTCTCGGTCAACGATATGTGGATGACACATTTACCATCATGCCTGATATAGCATCAGCCGAAATTTTTCTTGATACCCTAAACCACTGCCACCCATCAGCAAAGTTTACTACGGAGGTTGAACGGAATGCCTTGCTTCCTTTCATCGGTGTTCAACTGTTAAACTTAGCTCACAGAATCAAGACCAAGGTCTACGTAAAACCAATACAGGCCTTTTACTCCACTACCAGAACCACGTGGATAATCGGTACAAGCGCAGTCTAATTACCACCATGTTAGATCGAGCTTACCGCATATCTTCCGACTGGTCGTACTTCTCACAAGAATGCGATCGGCTTGAGACTGTATTCTTAAAGCTGAAGTACCCGAGGCACCTATTCAATCTGGCTGTCAAACAATTCGTAGATTCCAAGGTAACAGACCAGCAGCAAATTCCATCAACCAACACGACTCCAGCCCTCATCTGAGTTGTCATACTATTTAAAGATCAGGTCTCTGCTAATATAGTGAAAAAACGTCTCACAGACCTCAGCTCAAAAATCAAGACCACTATTCAGCCCGTGTTCATCAGCAGAAAACTCAACGAAGACCTTAAATTTCGAGAAGTCAAGCCAGCCATTGTTAACCAACAATGTTTAGTTTACCAATTTCAATGTAACCTGTGCGATGCAGGATATGTTGGTTATACTCGCGGCCACCTTCACGAACACGCTGATGGACACCAACAGAAATCGTCGTCAATTGGTAAACTATCTTAGCGAACATAACTCGGACGTACCACCTTTTCTTTCAGAACAATTTCACCTGCTCACTAAAGGTTCTAACAAATTTGATTGCCTAATTAAGGAGATGCTCTTTATAAGAAAACTCAAACCATCCCTAAACGTGCAGGCGGACTTGATTTGCGCAAAGGTATTCACTTGAAGAACTTGCGATCCTTTGTTATTATGCTTATTTGTAGATCAAATCTTCGCATTATTTATTCATTTTGCCTTGAGAATGGTGTCATGACAATACCGAAACGTCAGCTTTTAACGTTAATATTCGCTTGCTTATGTTTCAAGAAATCGTTATTGAGCAATATTTTGTTTAAGTTATAACATAAACTAAAAAAAACAACAACAAAAAGCCAAGGGGTAGCACAGCTTCTAGTTCTGACGTTTTTATTAAAGAAAAAATGGTTAACACAAATACTTTTTATTGTACAAACACTTTATACATGTACAATAAGATGCCCTGTTTTAAAGTATGTAATTTTATTGTATATTAATAATGAAAACAGTGATCATGAAATTCATTTCTTAGCTAGCTGGTATAAATGCTCCTAAACAGTGGGTAGTATTTTATAAACCTGGACATAATAGTCCGAATTGTAGCCAGGGACTGGTAATTCTGCAAAGATGAGGACCATGTCTTATTGTCACAGACTGTATGAAACAGATGATAATTAGTTATTTGATGTTAATTGGTATTTAAGATTCGAGATGTTGAGACAGAGGAGGAGCTTACCGAAGTGATCTGCAAAAGATGAAACAATGGTGCTCTCAACACAGTCAGGCTTTACAAATGAGTTTGTTAACCTCAGCAACAGACATCGAGCATATCAATGCATCATAATCCAGTGTTTTCAAAAACAGGAGAGAAGAGTTGGAGCAGCTGAGACAGGGCCTGGAATGTCTGTCCTTCATAACATTCTTGGAACTCTCTAAAGCCTGTATAAAGTTTGTGTTTCCAGTGCAAAGCGAAGTGGAACTGACCAAAGAGGATTTCCTTAGTTCGATTGACAAGCACTGGTTAGATAGGCTCAGTGTCAACCAGAGGATGACAATGGATTGGTTTCTGCAATATGTAAATGAAGTAAATCAGGGTGATGCAGGTACAGTACCGCTGATGGTCCATATACTTTGTGCAAACACTTTTTTACTCTTGTTAGGTAAGTGATTGACCTACTACTACTAATCATTGATGTCGTTTGGGAAAACTACCCTTGTTAACGCCAGTATTTGTTATTTTATTTTAACGTTTGTGGCGTTACTTCTAGATTTTAAGCTTTAAGTTTGCATTTGCACAAGTTTCTTGTTCGTCCCTATGGTACATCTGGAAATCACCAATTAAGGTGTATACATTTTGGATCAACATTTCCTATGTTGACATTTGAAATCTTTTGCTTGCTTTCCTTTATTTCTGTGTAAGCTTGTAAAAAGCCACCCTACAACAGCTTGTACTAAAACATGGAAATCTGGA